TAACCCCTAGCAAAGCAAAGCAAAAGGGAGAGAGGGGAGAGAGAGAGAGAGGGAGAGAGGGAGAGAGAGAGAGAGAGCTCGGAACTTTAGGCTTAGATGTTGTACTCCCTGTTTGCGCATCTTTCTTTCGCGAGCCGCCTCTGCCTTTGTAGTGCATGCAGATCTCACCTCTCGCTCCCCACATGTCGGGGGCGCTAACGCGCGCGGGCGAGGGGGGCTTGCCCCTCTTGTCCCTAGCCCTGGCGAAAGAAAGAGGGAAAGAGAAAGACCAGGCAAAGAAGACGGATCAGGGCGCAAGGGAGCGGGGGGTTGGGTGGGGTGGGGTCTCATGCGGTGGGCTGGAGCGGGCTGGGGTGGGGTGGTGGGGTGGGGTGGGGTGGGCTGCTAACACTGCGAAGACTGTCGATGCTCAGTTTGTTCTACACTACACTCATGCTATCACCTGCACGGCTCGCAGGCAGCGTACTCACATCCCAAGATCCTCTTTCGGGGCGGAGGGGGGGGGACCCAGGCTCCCAAGATTTCTGGCTGATTGATGCGCCAACGTAACCCCTGCAAAGCCGCCTATTTCTGCTGGATATCTCCTGCTGGATACGAATAGTACTATGACTGCTGCTGCTACTACTACTACTACTACTACTACTACTACCACTACGACTACGGCAACGAGCGCGATTGGAGAGGGCGGGGGTGTGGGCGGGCCAGGGGGGGGCGACCCAGGCTCCCAACATCTCTGGCTGACTAATGCGTCAACGTAACCCCCTGCAGAGCAGCCGATTTTTCCTGGATACAGAATCAGAATCAGAATCAGAGTACGTTGACCCTGGACGGGTCTTCAACCTTGCTTCATGGGTGCCTCCGCCCCACGGGCCAGCGGGCCCACATGTAAGCAACTTAAATGCAGGTGAATGCAGAATAATGCAGCCAAGGACAGCGCTAATATTTCTTTTCAAAGCATCCTGCTCTGTGCTTCCCTCAATCTAACCAGGATGTCTGCAAGGAGGCTGATTTTTGCCTTCAGTCCCTGCTCCGAGTTGCCAGGCTCGAACAGGCTTGAAGCGGGCACTCCAAGAGCCGCGCCCATTTGCCTTGCAGCTGGGCACTCCAATGACAAGTGCCGGACGAGCGATGCCACATCGCTTCCGCAAAGTCCACAGCCCCGTGTGGTTACAATAAGTCGATCTCCTCTTTGCCACCCCCCGACAGCCAAGGTGCCAGTGAGCAAAGCGAAAAACCACACCTTGCAGATGCGCCCCATTCGGGGTGTCCAAAAAATATCCTTCGTCATGGCCATGCTGCGGTGCAACCGGAGAGGAGGCTCCCAACCAATCTTACTGCACGCACGCTGTTTCCAAACATTCTCTTGCAGACGAATGGCAGGGATCACAACCTGGCTCTTCCACCTTCGGATATGACCCCGAATATCCTCTCTGGTCACCACCCCATGTGGCAATGACTCCCACGACGGGATCNNTGGATTCCAAGCTCCAATGCAAGCACACGCGCTGTGTTCATCCAAGTCTCCCCCGTTACCTCTGCCGCCGCTCGGACGACTCCGTGCAAAAACGTACTTGGCGGCATGGTGAGCAGCCTTGCCAGCGTCGTCACGATCCTGAGTGTCACTTTGGAGCTCAATCTCCAACTGTCCCCCATCCATGTGAGGAGCTGGACATATCCTCCGTCTCCCAGCGAGAGGTTGGTCATTCCAAGCATCGCCTTGATGGCCTTGTAATGAAAATAATTCAGCTTACGGGAAACCTGAGGCCACCCTAGGCCGTGAGAAGCTAAAAGCTCACAACCAAAAAGTGCAGCCGCTTCCACTCGGCAAGGGAACTGCTGAACGTGCCACGCCAGACCTAAGCCCTGAGCATCAAGAGCCCTCCCTAGGTTACTAGCTGCATCGTGCATCTGGTGCCCCAAGCGTTGCAAGATGCCATCAAAGCTAAGGTTCACATCAAAAGTCATCCCCAAAACCTCAAGCTGCTCCACAATTCTGACAGGCTGACCATCAAGCAGGGGCAGAGGCATTGAGTCGGGCCACGTGTCACCCACGCACATCGCCACAGCCCCTTTGCTACCTGAAGCAAACCTATGACGCCATAACTGAGCAAAAGCCGACATCGAGTTACAAACCTCGGACAAACCCCTACAAGTAGACTGCAAAGCGAAGGCATCATCTACAAATTGTAGAATTAGCAAGCGCCGTTGGGCTGCTATGTCAAGGAACAGGAGCGCGTCCTCCCTGGGAACAGATGGCGGTAGAAGCTTTCTGATTGCCTGCGTCGGTGCCATTGGATCAAAAGCGCCCGCGGCCGATTTGATAGCCTCCCACTCGGGTTCCTCATAAGGACTCAGGCTCCCGGCTCTGTCTTGAAGCACAGCGCGGCACACCGCTACGCTATGGCCAATGCCCACCCCCACGTTGACTTGCTTCACGGCATCCGTTAGGCCTTTAGCAAAGGCACCAAAAAGCTGCACTGCACTACGGCCTCCTTGCCTGATCCCATAATTAATCAAAACGAAAAACGGCCCAAGAAGGGGACCCAATCGAACTCTAGCTCTGTCGGCAGACAGAGAACAGTCAAGAACCAGCCAACAATTCCCTCTAATGTTAGCTTCCCACGCATGGAACCTCACTGCATCTCTCCACGCGAGGTCGTAGCCTTGGTGAAGGTCTGCCTTCAGCACATGGCTAGGCAATCCTGCATGGCAACGAGACTGCAAGGTTGTTAGGAGGCCAATGGCCACCAGCACCGGGTCCATCTGGCCTCCTACTTGCTCCATGCCCGCGTAACCAATCAACCGCTGCCTACACAGATCCAACCAAACTAAGTCGAAAACCCCTTCCAAATCAGAAACATAAGAAATTGGTCTGAGCTTGTTCGGGTCAACGACTACTTTCGGTCCTCTCTTCCGTATCGGGGCGATGATCCGATACCAGGAAGAGGGCAGCAAGCACAAGGCAAACATCAAGTTTATGATGATCCAAGAAAGCAGCCTTCCCACAAAGTTTTTTGATGTCGTAGCCAGCCTTGGTAGCTGTGCTGTAGCCTTGCCAGTAGCGATACTCTCTAACAAGACCCCGAACCTAACAAACCCAATCTGGCAGTTTGAGGCATCAGCTGTCTCGGCAAGTGCCTTTGCTCGGGCGTTGCCCACGTACTCTTTGACGATCGCGTCGAAGGCAGGATCCCCCCCACGTGCCTCATCGGCCCTGTGCACCACGTCACTTGCGATATGTTGCAAGGTCTCATATTCAGACATCCTTCTCCCGGTGCTGTCTTCTCTGAATGCAGTTTGCAGAGGGTCTTGTGGCTTCAAGAGCTGTGTCAAAAACGATTGTGCTGCCTGAGGGTTAGAAGAAGAAAGTCTATTAAAAGTGGTCACTTTAGCCTCGTGCACACTGGCTTTAAGCTGCTCTAAGAGTTCCTCTTGATCTCCGGAAGGCTCCGAAGAGAAGAACGGCCACAGTTCCTGCGCAGGGTCCCTCGTAACCCTCTTCCTACACAAGCTCACAAGCCCGCCGTAATGCCCTGCCAAGCACAAGACTACCGAGCGCCACCAAACTACTCTGTCCAGAAGGTTGCGCCGCAGACCCTTGCATCTCCCTACAGCAACCCAAGCCCTAACAACCCGACAAAGCAGCAAGCGCGCAGCCCAACCGGCCATGAATTTAAGTGCGCAATCAACCCTGGCAGTGACCTCCTCCCAAGACGCTCCCTTCTCCCAGCGTGCTTGACTGCACGTGCATGTTTCGGTTAGGCTAATATTGATGGCAGGCAAATCACAAGAGACAAAAGCGTGGTCACTACGGAGCAACTCGTCTTGAAGCCAAGTGACTCCCACAACCAACTCCAGACTTGGTTCTGCCGCAACAACATCAATCACTGAGCCCGATACATGAGTCGCCACGAATGGCTCGTTCCGAACAGTTACATTGAAACCAGACGAACTTTGCCAAAGCAGCAACATTTCATGATCGAAGGGTCTAGTCAACCGGGCGTTAGTGAGCCCAAGGTCAGGGAAATGCAAGTTGGTGTCTCCCAGCAACAGGAACTTACTGGAGCGGAAAGCAATCTGCCCTCGTATGCTCACCAGTTCTTGGTGGCGCTTATTCCAGAATTCTTTCCTTGCAGAGGTCTCATGCCCCGTGTGCGGGCCATAAACTGCCAGCAGCAGGATCTGAGGCTCCCCTGCGCAGGACATCCACATTGCATTTTGATCCCCATATTCACTAAGAACACTAACTGCTTCAGACACCGCTTCATGAATCAGCACAGCCACAGATGCGGGGTCTTCTGTTTGAGTTCCATGGAAGCTGTAGCAAGTGCACTCTGGCCAGCATGCTTGTGGGGAGAGCCGAGGTTCTGAGATTACTGCCACCGTTGCCCCTACATGCAATAGGTGGGCTGCTAAATGCAGCATCCGTGTTTGATTCTTATCACGGTCCAAAGACCGTCCAAAGGCACCTTGCGCATTCCAAGCGGCAATCTTCAAACGGCAGGATCTTGTCCTACCGACCAAAGGCACCGCCTCTGCCAAGATGCCCCCTTCCCATGGCCCTGCTGTGCCGGATAAGGGCAGTCCAAGTGTCTGCTGGTGTGTGCGATGCAACACATCCTTGATGCAGTCCACAAGCATTGCATCAAAGGCTCGAAAATTGCTCAGCTCATCTGGAACGTCCGAGACACCGAAGTCTGGCTTGCTTTGGAGCAAGGCCCAAACATCTCTTCTGAGAGCCAAGGCAAGCAGTTTATGAACCTTGGGAGGCTTACGTGGCAGCCCCACCTGAATCAACGCAGCTAGCTGGGACTGCGCTCTCTGCACCTCACCATCACTTCCCCATGAACACGCTTGGCCGAGAAGCACCGCGTCACTTTGGACATCCATCATTACTGTAACAGAAAAACAACTTGAGCCCTTGCATACCGGCCAGAAAGTCATCCCCCTTGCAAAAGGAGTAGGCACATGCATGAGCACATGGGACAGCACATCCCCAAGCAAAGCGAAAAAACAAAGAAAACACCAACCACCCAGACAGACGAACCCAAACCAACCCCCAGGACGGAAAGAAAAAAAAAAAAACACCAACACGAAGACGACGCCAAACACAACAACAACAACCAAACGCGACCACGACCCGCCCGACCCCACCAGACAACCCGGCCAGGCACAGCGACCCCGAGCACGACGACGACGACGCCACCCACGCCACCGCCAAAGCCGCCCGACACGGCGACCAGGGAAGGCCGGGGACCACACCAAGGACCCCACCACCAAAAAGACCCCAACAGCACGGCAACGAGGCAACAACGACACCAGCAAGAACGAAACCAAGCACGACCACAAACAGAAGAAACGCCAAAGCACAGCGCCACCAACGACGGCAACGGCACCACGAAGGCGGCACCAACACGGACGAGCCAGCACCGCCAAGCGACCCCGACGAGGGCGACGACAACGACCAAGACGACGAGAAGGACGACACAGACACAACAACACAACGCCCCAGGACAGCAGGAGCAAAGGCGACCACGACCGACACGGACGAAGCCAGCACCGCCAGAGACAGCGACGAGGGCGAAGACAACGACCAAGACGACGAGAAGGA